TATGTGAAATGATCATTGGTCAATTATGAAACCAGCCTATTTCATAATTTGGTTTTCTTTTAACAATAATTTTAGATTTTCTATAAAATGATATTCCAGGGCCCAACAGGTTATATAGCATAAATATGTGAAGTACACCTGCAGTATGGAAACAGTACAACAAAATGGCCGTTTTACACTTTTTTCTAGTAAATTCCTCTCTATATATTCTATTCTCTATGCCTACAGGTTGTCCCAATAAACATGATAATTGAGAGACGACTCTAAAAACTGTCTTTGACAGACAGGATAAAATGGTGCTTACTCATCCGACCTACAGTGTTTACTGACCCAACGTTTGTCTGACCTAAAATTAGATCTTAGAAGATGTTAGGTTAGGTAAAGTTGGGTAGGTGGAGTTGGTTCATTTCATTTGATTGGATAAAAGTTATAAATAGTTTCAAGGGGGGGTCAATTTATGTCCAAATAAACGCCTGGGGAGTAACAACTACTCGATAATTAATTCCATAGCATCCATTAAATATGAGGCATTTTTTTTAGGCTGTACTGCAAGCTGCCGGTCCTCTGTTTATACTGGAGCAGCAAGTTGAGCAGTACATTAACAACAACAAATAAACAAGTTGAGCAGTACATTAACAACAACAAATAAACAAGAAGTACATAACTTCACTGTCTACTTAAGTAAAATCGACCAAATAACAAACTTTTACCAGTGTTTATGTTGAAATAAATGCTATTTTATTAGTGCCTTACAATATTTTGTTTTATTGTTCAGAGCTATGCATGAAATGTCTCAGTGAGTCCTATATGAGCTAGTCAACAGTAAAGTTAGTCGTCAGTCCTACATGTACAGCAGTCAGATATACATGAAATGTCTCAGTGAGTCCTATATGAAGTCAGCGGTAAAGTTAGTCGTCTATGTACAGCGGTCAGATATACATGAAATGTCTCAGTGAGTCCTATTTGAAGTAGTCAACAATAAAGTTAGTCGTCAGTCCTACATGTACAGCAGTCAGATATACATGAAATGTCTCAGTGAGTCCTATTTGAAGTAGTCAACAATAAAGTTAGTCGTCGGTCCTACATGTACAGTAGTCAGATATATATGAAATGTCTCGGTGAGTCCTATATGAAGTAGTCAGCGGTAAAGTTAGTCCTCGGTCCTACATGTACACTGTACAGCAGTCAGATATACATGAAATGTATCAGTGAGTCCTATATGAAGTAGTCAGCGGTAAAGTTAGTCCTCGGTCCTACATGTACACTGTACAGCAGTCAGATATACATGAAATGTCTCAGTGAGTTCTATATGAAGTGATCAACGGCAACGGCAAGATATACAGATTAAAGATATGCAGATTAAAGATATACAGATTAAAGATATGCAGATTAAAGATATGCAGATTAAAGATATACATATTATAGATATACAGATTAGAGATATACAGTTTAAAGATATACATATTAAAGATTTGCAGATTAAAGATATACATATTAAAGATATACAGATTAAAGATATGCAGATTAAAGATATACAGATTAAAGGTATGCAGATTAAAGATATGCAGATTAAAGATATGCAGAATAAAGATATACAGATTAAAGATTAAAAATATACATATTATAGATATACAGATTAAAGATATGCAGATTAAAGATATACAGTTTAAAGATATACATATTAAAGATATACAGGTTAAAGATATGCAGATTAAAGATATACAGATTAAAGATATGCAGATTAAAGATATACATATTATAGATTTACATATTATAGAGAAATAGATTAAAGGCTCTGTCAATGTTTTTTATATTGACTTAATTTAACGAGTTTCAGTTTTGATTGACCCTTTAGACCTTTGTAAAAGCAATAATGAAGTTATCTCCGATTTTAAATATGAAAATTTAATATCTTTAATTTCGGTTCTCTCTGAGAGTGTCTTAAAGAACTGTGCAACAGAGAAAAAAAAGATTTTATATTGGAACGCATTTGATTGAGGAATACTCGAAGTTATGTCGACATCCCCTTTATCAAACTAGTGACCCGTTATAGTATCTTTGTATATATATATATATATAACGTTGAAATCTCTGTTTTTCTGTCTGTCTGTTTGTTTGTCCGAAAATAACTCAGGAACGCCTGGACCGATTTGCCTCAAATTTTGATTGAGGAACTCGGGAGACCCACGGAAATGTTCTTAGCTTGGTTTTGAGATTTTTAGTTGAGTTCAGTTGGCAACACTGGGTTCCAAAGCAAGCCATCAATATTCTTAAATAAAATGTATTAATGAAGAAACCAACACAAAGTACAAATTTTAAACTTTTGGGGCTAAAATTCATGAACACAAAAAGATTAAAAATGTAGCAAATTAAAGGTATCACTCATTTGTCTCCTTTATCGATCTGACTCCCATTTACATCTTAAACGAGTTGAAATGGACATGGGATAAATGCCAGTAAAGGCTTACAAAATTCTCTTTGTAACTTTATTCAGGTTTTTTTTAAAGAATCATTTAATACTTTCTCTAGGCAGTCATCATGTCCTAAAGAATACCCAGAAAGTTTTCATTCAGCCAAACATTTTCTATTTTGATGGTTGGATTCCATAATCCAGGTTGGAGTAAAAAATCTCTTTTTCCACATTTAAGGAGATTACAGCTCCTTAGAATGTAGCTTTATCATCTTTGGACATGTTTCCTTTTTGAACTTGTTCATCTTTATAAGTATTCTGTAATCTAGATTTTTTTAAAAATATTTATATCTGATTATGCTGGTTATCATCTTGTGTGGTTTTTTTTTCCACCCTATAGATCATTATATTTCAGTGAAAATCATTTGCATCAAAGTTCAAACAAATCTTCATGGCTACTTTGTTTTAAACATTTCTTTGAAAAATAATTATATTTTCCCATTTATTATAATAAAGAAAATACAGCAGAAACTCTGCTAAAACTGTCGAGAAAGTTCAAACAAAGATATTAAAAGTTTAAAGAATATTTCTCAACTTTTTGTTTGAATTTATGAATTCATTCACAAGGGAAATTATTGTATATAAATTCACACCGGAATTTCGAAACTAGAAGCGCAGAATATTTTGCATAAATCAACAGATCAACAAATTTTAAATATTTTGACAAGCTATCTTGGTTTTGCCCTCAAAATGATAAAAGAATGAAAATATCCAGAAATATTTTATATTCGAATATTTCTTTCTCTGTAGAATCTGAAGACAAATTTAAAATAGTCATTGATCATTGAAAGCTATAAAAAAAAACAATAAGGCGAGACGTGGATCAAAAGTAAGTGAACGTTTATTCATGAAACATAGGTAAAGAAAAAGACTGTAACTGGAAACAGTATCACATAATACATCGTGGAATGAAGCTAGGTTAGAGTCTACGAAGGTCATCTTCAGCTCCGCCACAACTAAAAGTACGTAAACAAATACTGTACATATGTAGAACAATAGTTATTCCGTACTTTCCCAAAGGCATTTTCCCAAGGGAGACTTCCCAAGTGACAATTTCCCAAGCAGCAAGTTCCGGAAGATTAGGAATTAGGCCCTCTGCGGCTAGGATTGGCTAGTGGGCCGAGCGCCGCAGACTTGGGAAGTTGCCGCTTGGGAAATTGCTCATTTGGAAAGATACCCTTGGGAAGTTGACACTTGGGAAAAATCCATTGGGAAAGTACCTAACATCAAACAATAAGCTTCCCAAAAACATGATCTATCTTTTTTATAAAAAAAATACGTAGAACTTTCTGATAATTTGGAGTTCATATTAGATTGAAATTTGAATAAAGGAAACTGAAGACTTGCCTTAAATTCTAACTTTCTAATATATATATATATATCTTTGCAAACTATAATAGTGAAGACCTTTGATATTACAAACTTCACCCGGGTACTCATTGTTACTCCCGCAGTTTACCCGGGCTTGCCAGTAAATTACGATTTTAGCTATTGTTTCTTACAAAAGTCGACCCACTCAACCTTTAATCACAAAATTCAAGTTAAGAACATACGAACAAACAGCCAAACAGAAATTACAACTTTATATATATAAATAAAAGGTCTTCAACGTTATAGGTCCTAATTTTCAGTTTGAGGCAAATGTTTAGATCCTTTATATCATGTAATTTTGAATGCACAAAAGAGGCAAAATGGTATCTTGTATTTCATGATCATTATGTTGAAATGAATGCTGATATACAGTTTTATACTATTAATTGTACAGAGGGGTTCAAAATAAACTGTGGAATAGGAAGACGATATATAAGCAATCTTTTAATGAATTTGTTGTTGTTAAAAAGCAAATAGTTTTAAAAGTAGCTCAAAAATCAACTTGTTTTTGAAATCAGTAACAAATTACAAGTATGTGTGTATGTTTTTTAAAAGAGATTTTTTTTGTCCCCAGGACATGATCGGGTTGTTACGATCAAATCTCGGAATTTTTTCTATTCCGAAAGTTTGGTGTTGTCTGGGTCTTTATATTTATCTACCAGGGATTGTAATCTGGCAACACATTCATCCATCCACGCTTCATTCATTCTGAGAAGAGGGTTGACAAGATTCCAGCTGCCTAAGATTCTTCTGGTCTGGACACCAATCCAGTTACTGGCTGTGGACAAGTGTGCTTAACTTCAGTGATCTAACGAGAACTGGTGTCACACACTAGCCACCCCACCCCACTAAAGCCACCCCACCCCACCCCACTTATGTGTGTATGTTAACCGCCAAAAAAGTTCTCTGAAAAAAATTTTCACAAATAAAGTCCTAAATTTTAGCATTTTAAAATTCATGTAGAAAAATGTCTTTGAAATAAAAAGTCTTTGGAAATAAAGTCCTGACATTTTGAGACTTTATTTTTTAGGACTTATTATGGTTCTCCAGTATGATTTTATACAAAAACGTACCTGGTAAAAAAAACACACTTATAGTTGATATAAGTACCTGATATTAAAAACACTTCTGACAACATTCATGATTCAATGCAGATTCAGAGAAGGAAAAGTCCTTTTTATAAAAACGTCTCAGACATGACTTTTATTCTTGATTTTTTTTCTTCGGACATTTTTCCTGAGACTTTACAGGCAGCCCCCATATTATTTTGAGAAAAAAAAGGCCCAGGAAACTAAAACTCGGGACTTTATTTCCAGTGACATTTTGTCATAGGACTTCAGAAAATTGAGACTTTTTCAGAATTTTTTTTTCCTGTGACTTTCTTTCAAAGATTATGTGTGTATGTGTAGTTTGTAGTTTAAGTGTGCGTGAGAGGGTGATCTAGTGTTTGGGTGTGAGAGTGTGTGTGTAGGGGTGTGTGAGTGTGAGTGAGAGGGTGATTGAGTGTTTGGGTTTGTGAGTGTGTGTGTAGGGGCGGGAGGATGAGAGGATAAAAATAGCCTTAACCTCAGATAAGAATAGAAATATCTTAGACCATAGATAGAGAAATATATAGAGTTCACAGTTCTCTACCTGGATTGATCAGGAGTTATACTGTTAATTCCTAAACATATTTACGCCAGAAGGTTAAAGGATACATACTGTACAGTGTAGGGTGTAACACAGGCCTCTAGCGTCTGTTCAGTCTGTGAATTTTTATGTTCTTACACTCACAAACAGTTAATTTAATCACGTTATACTCAATTATAAACTACTAGGCTTTTAGGGCGCTTCGCCCCCATCTTCTATTTAAATTGTGAACATGTTGTTTTTGTTTACATTTAAAAACAAAGAAGAAAAAAAGTTGCGGATTTTTA